CCTTTGGTGATATGGATAAGGTGGACGGCTCCGATACCCCTACGACTTTTTGACTTTCTGCCAGTATCTTTGCATTTTCAGAAGCGAATGTGTGGACGCCGCAAACGACGCCCTCTCGTGGGCGGAGAAAGTCCGTCGTGACATGATGACGTCACCGATAGTTCGACGGTTACTCTTCAAAACGATCAGAACAAATAATCACTCCGGATCATCAGAAGAAACGCACAGCAACACGGATCACTCCCAACAGACATCGATTGTTATTGATCGCCTCGCGTCAGCCATCGATCAGGAGCAACAAACATCTTCGTACAGTAATGTGGACTACGCCCAACAGACATCTATGATTATCGATCGCCCTATGTCAGCCATTGATCGGGAACAACAAACATCGTCATACAGTAACGCGGATCTCTCTCAACAGACATCGATTGTTATCGACTCGTCAGCTATTGATCGGGAGCAACAAACATCATGCAGTATCGATCGACCACCACCTGTTCTCGACGACGTCGCGACCCAATCATCACCAGAAGTGATCGACAAGATGACGGCGCCCATCGTGGTGCTGCCGTTGTTGGGTCGCTCGATGCAGACGTCGCAGGACGAGGCGATGAATCGGTTAGTGGGGTGCCCGACAGGAGGCCCGTCGCGCGGCGAGAAGGCAGAGACGCAGACGGGTCAGACTTTAAGCGCGTATTATAGAGATCTTGCGTCGGCTAAAAAGGATGTATTGTATCACGCCCCATACTGTATAGCACGCGCTGCAACTCGTCCGCTGACCCGTCTGCGTCTCTGCTTTCTCGCTGCGCCTCGGGCCTCCTGTCCGATACCCCGCTTGGAGCTCCAGCTACTTTTTGCGCACTATGAAATCTGAGATCACCGTGTTTTCAGATCTCAACAGACTTCCATCGAACTACTCAACGGTCTCATGGATCCAAAGCAGCTTGGTGGTCGTCTCCACAGCCGTTGGGCCCGATGAAGGTATGTGATATCACTGCCTCCTTGTTGTAGATTTTTCAGTAAGGGTGCAGTTGTGAAGCAGAAACTTAAGCAACACCCCCAGCAGAAGTCGTGTCGAAGAATCTATTCAGTGGGTGGGATAGAGTAGCCCACGAGTAGCACAGATGTGCCGTTGTCGCGGCTCGAAAGTGCGCGACAATGGCGCTAGGGTCTTACAAAGTCAGCGTTTGGCGACCACTCTTAGCATTTGGACGAGTTTCGTAGCGCACATTCAAAGGCGCGGGCTAGTGGAGCCATGGAGCAGGCAAGTTCGCACAACTCGTCCGGCCCCGCCCTTTCTTTTTTCAAGAGGAATTTTTGTTTTGGGCTTCATCGACGGTTTTCTTTGCTTCTTTTTTCATTTTTAGTCAATTCGGCATCCACAACTTCATTATCAACCGCTGTGACCCCACAAATTCGATCCTGGGGTGTTGCTTGCAAGGCCAGCCTGTTTTGTCCCC